CTCTACACTCACAGGGGCCGTCTACCACTACGAGGCCTACGACGTCGACCCCCACTATACTTAGCCAAATAAATGGCCGTGAGATAAACGAAAACCACCCAACAGCAAACGTGACCATGACCAACCGCAATACAAGTGGGGTTCAACGCTATAGAATGTGGGGGAGTGGGAAGGAATACGTGGCACACGTAGCATGCTTAATCGTGGAACAGGGGGGCGTGCCATCAGGTGCCTATAAATACCCCAATGTGGGGAAAGGTATGGGCTTCTGGAAACCCGAACTATCTGAATTCCAATATTATATCTCCATATTCTCCAATACTGAATACTAATTCTCACGCCGGAGGTACAACGGGGGAGAGAGCCCCGACCTCATTTTTGTAGGTGATAAATACCGAACTGGGCAGCCGGAACACCAGTCACATCCGGGAGAACGCCTCACAATTATTTCATATTCTATTCCTCGGTGGTAATTCATAGCAGTTGTTCAATCCAATCTACACTTGCTATCCATATTGCTAAATCTAGCTTATATACAAAACTAAGAGATTTAATATTTTGTTTGTGTTTTAATGGCATTGATTGTAATGAAAATGTGACTATTAGTGGAGGAATTACTTTGTTGAGTTGCAGAAGTTTTTCTCCTGACAATAGGGAAATATTAGATTTTGATGTATACAAATTTATTTTTTCATGCATCAATATTCAATCATGTAGCCGATCAGAAAGGAACTACTAGAAAAGGAAAAGAAATAAAAGAGTATTCATGAGAAGGAAATGAATCAGAAATGACCAAATTTGATTGATTAAATGAGTTCACTATCTATGTAAGTGAACCTCTTTGGCACAAGACGTAATACAAGAAACTTTCTAATATTTGCCATTATAATGACTTGTGCTTGTGACCGCGGCCAACGAGATGCTTTTTAACTTGAAGATTCTACGACCCTCCTTCAAGACAATGAAAAGATTCATATATATTTATACTCAAATTTGAGCTGGTTGAGCGTGCATGTTAAGGGACTGTAAGTTTCTTCATTTTTCTTAGGGTTAGACAAAACTCGTGAACCGACCCGGACCGAACCGAATCGAGCGGTTCTTCATAAGTTAAATACCCGAATGGGTATCTGAATCGAGAACCAATGAATTTTGTTAGGTTCTCGCTTATAAACTAAGAACCGAATCTAAATAATTTTTTTAGTTTTTTATATTGAATTAATTAAATTATTTTAATTTTTTCTAATCAAATTAGCAAATTAACTAATTTAGTTGAACAATTTTAGTTTATTTGTGTTTGTTAATTGTGATTTTTCAATTATGCGTATAGAGTTTCTTAGTATGACAAGTCAAGCAATTGATAATTAAATCAAATAATTGGTAAGTATTACCAATACTTAAAAATATTTTATTTTTATAACCTTCAATTTGTATTTCATTTTTTTATGTAGTCTGTTTGAAGCAAAGAAATTATTGATATGGATCAACGATATTTTAGTATTAGTGTCTACTTTTTGATATTTGTATACATTGAATTAATCTTATTGGACAACTTGTTATTTATATGTTTTTAAATTCGGCTACGTTAATTTGTAAAAGTTATGAATGAACATTTCATTAGTTGTATTTATGTAGTGTTACTGTAAATGTTAAAAAATTCAATTATGGTACAGAACTAAATCGAACCGAACCGAACTCGAACGGTTCTATAATTATATTTGGACCAAATGGTTCCATTTATTAAATACCCAAAAATTTTGGTTTGGTTCGGTT